TATCTCCAGTTAGATAGTGTCAGAGTTGAGTTAAACTATAGAACACCCAGTTGGTGTCCGCTGAGATCTGGAGAATTTCTTGGTGTGGGAAAAACACTCACACATTTGGAATACAGAAGTATTCTATGAGTAGAGTAAATGAGTATGTCCCTTTCACAGACAATCTACCAAAAATGGCCCATAAAGAAATAGAAAATCTGAAAAGACCTATAACTAGTAAGGAGATTTAGTCAGTGATTGAAGACTTCCCAACAAAGAAACACTCAGGATTAGATGGCTTCACTGGTGAGTTCAATCAAACATTTAAAGAAGAATTAATACCAGTACTTCTCATTCTCTTCTAAAAAATTGAAGAGGAGGAAATACTTCATAACTCACTCTATGAGGCCAGCATCACCCTGATACCAAAGCAAGACAAAGACACCACAAGAAAAGAAAACTACAGGCCAACATCCCTGATGAACATGGATGCAAAAGTCCCCAACAAAATACTAGCAAACTTATTTCAACCGCACATTAAAGGGATCATATACAATGGCCAAGTGGGATTTATCCCTGGGATGCAAGGATGGTTCAACATATGCAAATCAATCAATGTGATATATGATATTAACATAATAAAGGGTTTAAAAATCACATGATCATCTCAATAAATTATATCTATATGTATGTATACACACATACACACACAGTTGTAGGGAAAAAAGTGATCTACAGATTCAGTACAATCCTGATCAAAATTCCAATGGAATTTTTTGCAGAAATAGAAAAATCAATTCTAAAATTCATTTGGAATCTGAAGGGACCCTGAATGGCCACAACAGTCTTGAAAAAATAACAAAGTTGGAGGACTCACACTTCCATATTTCAAAACTACCAACTACTACAAAGCTACAGTAGTCAAGACGTGTGGTACTGGCATAAGGAAAGAAATATAGATCAATGGAATAGAACATACAGCCCAGAAATAAACTTTCACATATATAGTTAATTGATTATCAACAAGGTGCCAGAAGATTCAATAGGAAATTGACAGGCTTTTCAACAAAAGCACAGGCAACAACAAAAAATAGATAATTGGAATGTATCAAAATTAAAATCTTTTGTGCATCAAAGGATACTATCGAGGAAGTGAAAAGATAATGTATGGAATGCGAGAAAATATTTTTAAATCATATATCTGATAAGGGAATAATATCCAGAATAGAAAAAGAACTCCCACAACTCAGAACAAAAAAACAAACAGCCCAATTTAAAGGCGGGCAAAGGGACCTCCCAGGTGGTCCAGTGCTTAAGACTCCAGGCTCCCAATGCAGGGGGCCTGGATTCAATCCCTGGTCAGGGAACTAGATCCCTCATGCCACAACTAAAGATTCCGCGTGCCGCAACTAAAGATCTTGCACGTGGCAACAAAGATCCCGCATGATGCAACTAAGACCCGGCACAGCCAAATAAATAAATATTAAAAAAAAAAAGATGGGCAAAGAGCTTGAATAGATATTTTTTCAAAGAGGATATATACAAATGGCCAATAAACACATGAAAATATGCTCAACACATCATTAGGGAAATGCAAATCAAAATCACAATGTGATACAACTTCATACTTATTAGGATGGCTATGATAAAAAATGGAAAATAACAAGTGTTGTTGAGGATGTGAAGAAACTGGAACTCTAGTCAATTTATGACAAAGGAGACAAGAATATACAATGAAGAAGGGACAGTATCTTCAATAAATGGTGTTGGGAAAACTGGACAGCCACATGCAAAAGAATGAAACTAAACCACTATCTTATACCATACACAAAAATTAACTCAAAATGGTTAAGACTTAAACGTAAGACCTGAAACCATAAAAGATCCAGAAGAAAATATGCGTGGTAAGCTCCTTGACATTGGTCTTGGTGATGAATTTTTGAATCTGACAGCAAAAGCAAAAGCAACAAAGGCAAAAATCAACAAGTGGGACTACATCAAGCTAAAAAGCTTGTGCACAGCAAAGGAAATTATCAACAAAATGAAAAGGCATCCTATTGAATGGAGAAAATAATTACAAATCATACATCTGAAAAATACAAAGAACTCATACAACTCAATAGCAAAAAAAAAACCAAAAAACAATCTGGGCAGAAGATCTGAACAAGACATTTCTCCAGAGAACACATACAGATGACTAACAGGTACATGAAAAGATGATCAACACCATTAATCATCACAGAAATGCAAATCAAAACCACAATGAGATATCAACTCACACTTGTTAAAGTGACTATTACAAATAAAAAAACAAACACACACAAAAAACCCAAGAAATAACAATTGTTGGCAAAGATGTGGAGAAAAGGGAACACTTGTGCACTGTTGGTAGGAATGTAAATTGATGCAACTACTATGTAAAACAGTATGGAGGTTCCTCAAAAAATTAAAAATAGGACTACCATATGATCCAGCAGTTCCACTTCTGGGTATTTATCCAAAAAAACCCAAAAATACTAATTTGAAAAGATGTATGCACCCCCATGTTCATTGCAGCATTATTTACAATAGCTCAGATATGGAAACAATGTAACTATCAATGGATGAATGGATAAAGAAATATATATTATTCAGTCATTAAAAAGAATGAAATCTTGCAATTTGCAACAACATGGATGGATCTCGAGGGCATTATGCTAAGTGAAATAAGTCATACAGAGAAAGACAAATACCATATGATCTCTCTCATATGTGGAATCTGAAAACAATAACAACAACAACAATCTCCAAGCTTGTTGGAGATTGTTTATTTTAAAAAATAAAAATTCTTTTTAAAATTTAAAAAATTTTTTTTTTAATTTTTAAAAAAAATTTAAAAAATAAAATTTTAAATTTTATTTTAAAAAATAAAAATTATTTATAAAAATAAAAATTGTTTATTTATTTTTTAAAAAATAAATTTTTTTAAAAAAGGAAATTGGAACTTTTGTACATTGCTGGTGGAAAGGTAAAAATGTTTGCAGCTACTGTGGGAAATAGTTTGATGGTTTCTCAGAAAGTTAAACATAGAATTACCATATGATACAAAAACTCCACTCCCAAAGAAATTGAAAGCAAGGACACAAACAGATACTTGTACACCAATGTTCACAGCAGCATTATTCACAATAGCCAAAAGGTAGAAATGACCCAAGTGTCCATCAACAGATGAATGGATAAATAAAATTTGGTATATACATGCAATGGAATATTATTCAGCCATAAAAAGGAATAACTTTCTGATATATGCTACAATAAATATGAATCTTGAAAACATTATGCTAAATGAAATAAGACAGAAAAGTTCAAATATTGTACAATTACACTCATATAAGGTACGTACAATAGGAAAATTCATAAAGACAAAAAGGGGGCTTCCCTGGTGGCTCAGTGGTTAGGAATCCGCCTGCCAAGGCAGGGTACATGGGTTCAAGCCCTGGTCTGGGAAGATCCCACATGCCGTGGAACAACTAAGCCCATGCACCACAACTACTGAGCCTGCACTCTAGAGCCTGCAAGCCACAACTACTGAGCCCACGTGCCACAACTACTGAAGCCTGCACACCTAGAGCCTGTGCTCCACAACAAGAGAAGCCACTGCAATGAGAAGCCCGCGCACTGCAACCAAGAGTAGCCCCCGCTCGCCTCAGCTAGAGAAAGCCCACACGCAGCAACGAAGACCCAACACAGACAAAAATAAAGATAAATAAATTTATATTAAAAAAAGACAAAAAGTAGAATAGAGTTTACCACAGCTGTTGGGAAGGGACAATGGAGAATTACTGTTTAATAGGTACAGAGTTTCTCTTTGGGATGATGAAAAAGTTCTAGAAATAAATAGTGGTGAAGATTATACAACATTGTGAATGTACTTAATGCCAATGAATTGTACACTTTAAAATGGTAAATTTTGTGTTACATATTTTTTGCCATAAAAAATGCAAAAAGAAAATCAAAGGCCAAAGGAGAAATTCAGAAAATATATTTCAACCCACATAACAGAGGCCTGATTTACCTAGAATACAAACAGCTTTTACAAAGCAATAAAAAATAGAAATAGAAAACTAGGCAAAGGACATGAGCAATACACACACACACACACACACACACACGAAAAGAAATATATGTGACTTCTAAGTATATTAGAAAACTTAGGGAATTCCCTGGTGGTCCAGCGGTTAGGACTCTGCACTTCCACTGCAGGGGGGACATGTTCAATCCCTGGTTGGGGAAGTAAGATCCGCAATGCCACACGGTGCAGCCAAAAAAAAATAAACAAACCAAAAAAAGCTTAACCCTACTCATGATAAAAAGATTGTGTTAAGATACCACTCTTTTCCTAGAAAGATGGCAATATCAGAAAGTTTGATAATATATTGTTTTGGCGAGGCTGTGGAGAAACACTCTCATATTCTGTTGTTGGATTGTAAATTGGTATATTTTTTGTAAGGCAACTTATCAAAAAAATTTTAAAGTGTGCTCACTTTGGCAGCACACATAGTAAAATTGGAACGATACAAAAGATTAGCATGGCCCCTGCGCAAGGATGATATGCAAATTCGTGAAGCGTTCCATATTTTTGAATGCATGTATAACTGAATCACTTTGCTGTACACCTGAAACTAACACAACATTGTAAATCAACTATACTCCAATAAAAATTTCTTAAAAAAGAAAAGAAATTTTAAGTACATATGCCTTTTTATTGGTAAGTAACAGAAAACCCAACTCCAATAGGCTTAAACAATAAAGAGGATTTAGGACTTCCCTGGTGGCACAGTGGTTGAGAGTCTGCCTGCAGATGCAGGGGACACGGGTTCGTGCCCCGGTCCAGGAAGATCCCACATGCCGCAGAGCGGCTAGGCCCGTGAGCCATGGCCGCTGAGCCTGCGCGTCCGGAGCCTGCGCGTCCTGAGCCTGTGCTCCGCACCGGGAGAGGCCACAACAGTGAAAGGCCCGCATACCGCAAAATAAATAAATAAATAAATAAATAAATAAATAAATAAATAAAGAGGATTTATCAGTTCAAATAACTGCAAATTCCAGGGGATGAGTGAGCTCTGAAATTGGTTTGATTTTGTGGATCAACAATATCACCAGGGACCTAATTTCCTTCCATCTGTCAGTTCAGTCATCCAAAGTGCGAGCTCCACTGTAAATCTGACTCCCTTCTTGGTAGCAAAAGGGCTGCAGCACTTGAAGTCTTCACATCAGCTACACCATACTGTCCAAAAGAAGAGACAAAGCTGGCTTTTGTTCTCTCTCAGAAGAGCAAAGAAAAACAAAAACAAAAAGAAACCCTTCTTCCCCCAAATACTTCAAAAAATATCCTCTAACATTTCACTGACTTGCATCATTGGCCCATTCCTGAAATTTCCCCTTGACAGGACAATAGTATGCATTGATTGGCTAAGGCCTGGGTTGCTTGAACCAATAACTGAGACATGGGGGATGGACTTACCCTGACTGGGTTACATGTGTGGTGCACCCCCTCCAGAAGCTGGGAGTGAGATCAATTCTACCCCCTTCAAACTTTATGACTGCTAAACAATGGGGAAGATATGGAATGGATGTTGGGCAGGGATAACATCAACCACTATATACTTTGATACAGCAACCATACTTCTAGGAATTTATCCTAAAAATATGCTGACCCATGTGTACAAATAAGTATGTTCAGGGAGATCATTTGTAATAACAGGATATTGGAAACAACCAAAATGCCTGGGACTGGTTAAGTAAATTATGATGTAGCCATACAAAAGAATAAGGCAGATATAAATGTATTGATATGACACAATCTCAAAAATATATTAAGTGAAAAAAGCAGAGTGAATAGCCTGCTACCATTTGTGACAAAAAGAGAGAAGAAATGGATATATGGATATGATATATTTTAAGTGAAAAAAGTATGATAAACTCCCATTTTCATCAATAACCAGACAGATAGATATCCAAATGCATGTGCACACACACATATATACCCATTTATACTTGTATATCCATGGTTTGCATAGAATATATCTGGAGGATAAGCAAGAAACTGACAGTGGGGTTCTCTGGAAAGGGAACCAAGGGAACTAAGGAATAGGGGTAATATATAACTTTAATTGTATATCCTTTTATATTGCTTGAGTTGTTTTTTACCATGTGCATGTATTTTTAGTTAAAAAACAGAAATATTTATTAGTTATAGGTTTCTATTTTTTACCTGTCAGATTGTCAAAGATAAAAATATTTTTTAATAGTTTTATTGGTCAAGATGGCATAGTAGGAAGACTCTGAGCTCACTTCCTCTCACAGCCACACCAAAATTACAACTATTTACAGAGCAACTATTGATGAGAAAGGCCAGAATCTAGCAGAAAAGATCTTCTACAACTAAAGACATAAAAAAGGAACCACAATGGGGCTTCCCTGGTGGCTCGGTGGTTGAGAGTCCACCTGCCGATGCAGGGGACACGGGTTCCTGCCCCGGTCTGGGAAGATCCCACATGCCGCGGAGCGGCTGGGCCCGTGAGCCATGGCCGCTGGGCCTGCGTGTCCGGAGCCTGTGCTCCACAACGGGAGAGGCCACAACAGTGAGAGGCCCACGTACTGTAAAAAAAAAAAAAAAAAAGAACCACAATGAGATGAGTAGGATGGGCAGAGTCACAGTATAGTCAAGACCCACACCCCAGGGTGGGCAACCCACAGATGGGAGAATAATTACAATTGCAGAGGTTCTCCCCATGGAGAAAGGGGTCTGAGCCCCACATCAGGCTCCCCAGCCCAAATGTCCAGCATCAGGAAGATGATCCCCCAGAAAGTTTGGCTTTGAAGGCCAGTGGGGCTTACTTTCAGGGGAGCCAGAAGGCTGTGGGAGACAGAGATTCCATTCTTTTTTTTTTTCTTTGCAGTACGTGGGCCTCTCACTGTTGTGGCCTCTCCCATTGTGGAGCACAGGCTCCAGATGCGCAGGCTCAGTGGCCATGGCTCACGGGCCCAGCCGCTCTGCGGCATGTGGGATCTTCCTGGACCAGGGCACGAACCCGTGTCCCCTGCATCGGCAGGCGGACTCTCAACCACTGCACCACCAGGGAAGCCCAGAGAGATTCCATTCTTAAAGGGTGCACACAAAATCTCACACACTCCAGGACCCAGGGCTGCAGCAGTAATTTGAAAGGAGCTTGGGTCAGACCCATCTGCTGATCTTGGAGAGTCTCCCAGAGAGGCAGGAGGCAACTGGAGGTCACCCTGGGGACACAGACACTGGTGCTGGCAAGTGCCATTTTGGAATACTCCCTCTAGTTTATTAGCCTGGGGACCCAGCCTTGCCCCTGCCCACTAGTCTATAGGCACCCATACTGGGATGCTTCAGGCCAAGCAACTAGCCAGGCAGGGACAGCCCCACCCACCATCAGGCAAGCTGCCTTAAGACCCCCTGAGCCCACAGCTTCCCCTGGACACAGCCCTATCAACAGAGGGCCCAGGACCCAGCCCCATACACCAGAGCACAGGCACTAGACCCAGGACCCCCAGGGCCCTGTAGCTAGAGACCGCAGGACCCAGCTCTGCCCACCAGTGGGCAGGCACCAGCTTTAGGACACCCTGGTACCTGGACCCACCCACCAGTGAGCAATCTCTAGCCTTGGAACCAGCCTCACCCACCAGTGGGCAGACACCTGCCCAAGGACAACTGCAGCCCCACAGCCTGCCATGGCAGGACTCAGACCACCCACCAGCAGGCTGGCACTAGCCCTGGGACCCACTGGGCCACGCCCTTACCCACCAGCAGGCCAACACCAGCTCTGAGACATCTTGAGGGCCTCAGCCAGCTGCTCTAGGATCCATCCTCAATCACCAGTGGGCTGACACAAGCTTCAGGACACCCCAGACCCTGCAGCCATGTCAAGAACTGGCCTCAACCACCAGTAGTCAGACCCCAGCTCTGGGACCCCTGGGCCCTTCAGCCAGAGACCCCAGGACCTGGTTCTACCCACCAGTGGGCTGACACTAGCCCCAGGACCCAGCTTCACCCACTGGTGAGTGGGCACCAGTGGCGAGATCTCCTGGACTCAAACCCCACCAACCAATGGGTGGACACCAGCCCCAGGATCACCACAGCTCCACAGCCTGCCTTGTCAGCTGAAACACCAGCAGGCAGAGAGTAGCCCTGGGAACCCCACAGACCATGACCCTTCCCACCAGCAGGCCAACTCCAGCTCTGGGACACCTTGGGCTCCTCAGCCAGTGGCCCTGGAATCCATGCCAGTGGGCTGACACCAGCTTCAGGACACACAGGACCCTGAAGCCGGAGACACCAAGACCTGGCTCCACATACCAGTGAGCTGGCACTAGCCCTGGGACCCCCTGGGCCCTAGCCACACCTACTAGCAGGCCAGCACCAGCTCTGAGATGCCTTGGACTCCTCAGCCAGCCACCCCAGGATCTAGCCCTATTCACCAATGGGCCAGTACCAGCATTGGGACACCTGGGAACCTGCAGCCAGCAATGTCAGGAACCAGCCCCACTCACCAGGAGGCCAACACTAGATCCAGGAACTCCAGTCCCACAACCACCCACCCTAGAACAAGGTTCTGCCCACCAGTGAGCAAGCACTAGCCTGGGACCCCCCAGGGTCCCTCAGCCAGGATCTCATGACCCGGCCCTGCCAACTAGCAGCTGGTAGCCTCCATGCAATGCAGGGCCTGACAACCGGTCAAACCAGGGGTGAGCCATGCCTATGAGATCACCCACAGTAGTCAGCCCACCATAACAGAAGGACCCACCCAGCCAACAGAGGGGGCACCCCTAGAGCATATAGCTCTGGTGATAACAGGGAGGTGTGCTGCTGGGACACATAGGATGTCTTCTACAAAAGGCCACTTCTCCAAGGTTAGGAAACATAACCAACCGCCCAGATACATAGAAATAAAAACAGCAAGTTAGGCAGAATGAGGTGACAGAGGAACATGTTCCAGATGAAGGAACAATATAAAACCCCAGAAGAAAAACTAAGTGAAATGGAGACAGGCAATCTACCCAATAAGGAGTTCAAGGTATTGATCGTAAAGATGATCAAAGAACTCAGGATAAGAATAGATGAAGAGAGTGAGAAGTTAGAAGTTTTTAACAAAGGGTTAGAAAATATAAAGAAGAACCAAACAGATGAAGAATACAATAAGTGAAATGAAAAATACACTAAAAGGAATTAACAGTAGACTAAATGATACAGATGAATGGATCAGCAAGCTGGAAGACAGAGTAGGGGAAATCACTGAAGCAGAACAGAAAAAAGAATAAAAAGAAATGAGGACAGTTTAAGAGACCTCTGAAACAACATCAAGCATACTAACATTCACATCACAGGGGTCCCAGGAGGAGAAGAGAGCGAGAAAGGGACACAGAACATATCTAGAAGACATAATAGCTGAAAACGTCCCTATCCAGGGAAAGGAAACAGATAGCCAGGTCCAGGAAGCACAGGGTCCTAAACAGGATCAACCCAAGGAGGACCACACCAAGACACATTGTAATTAAGATGGCAAAAATTAAAGATAAAGATAGAATATTAAAAGCAGCAAGGGAAAAGTAACAAACACCATACAAAGGAATTTCCATAAATCTATCAGCTAACTTTTCAGCAGAAACCTTTCAGGCAAGAAGGGAGCAGCACAATACATTTAAAGTGAAGAAAAGGAAAAACCTACAACCAAGACTACTCTACCCAGCAAGGCTTTCATTCAGATTTGATGGAGAGAGCAAAAGTTTTACATATAGGCAAAAGCTAAATGAATTCATCACTACCAAGCCAGCTTTACAAGAAATGTTAAAGGGACTTCTCTAAGTGAAAAAGAAAAGGCCACAGCTAGAAACATGAAAATTACTAAAGGGAAAAACTCACTGATAAAGACAAATATAGTAAAGGTAGTAAATCATCCATGTACAAAGCTGTAGGAAAGTTTTAAAATAAAAGTACTAAAGTAATCTATATCCACAGTAAGTCATTAAAGACTACACAAGACAAAAAGATGTAAAATACAATGTCAAAAAAGCAATAATAGGGAGAAGGGAGTAAAAATGCAGGGCTGTTAAAATGCATTTGAAATTAAGAGATAAGCAGCTTAAAGTAATCACATATATGTGTATGTACATGGATTTTATATATATATATATATATATATATATATATATATATATACCTGATGGTAACCACAAACTGAAAATCTGTAATAGAGACAC